AAGGTCTGCCCTCACTGGGAGATGCCACAGGGTGTCCATGGACATCCTGACCAGCTCCTAGAACCATAGACACCTTGGCCAAAAGGGAGCGATAAAGATCACCTCTGCCTTCACTATTTGCACGTTGGTCAGCACCTTGCTGATCACGGGGGTTAGGAGGAAGGCATATAGCAAGCCCTCCAACCACTGGTGTAGTAGCATGTCCTTGCCCTCTGCTTGTGTTCCCAAGAACCTGAATAGGAACCTGGGAACCTGGTGGTTCTGCCGCGATGCCAGGAGACCCATTATTGGGGTCCCAAATTGGGCAGAGATCTCCTAAAAGGTGTCATGATTCAGTGCCCATTCTCCTGGGTCCAAGTCCCTTCTAATCAGCCAATCTGTTTGCATATTTGAGAGGCCTTGCAGTGCTGCAATCTCAGGCCTGTTCTGCCCATAGGAAGAGGAGCTCCACCTCCTGGTAAAGGGCAATGGCTCTGGTGCTGCCTTGACGGCTGATGTGTGCCTTTGTCATCATGTTATCGGTTCTCACCAGGACATTCTTTTCTCTCAGAGAGTCCCAGAAGGTAATTAGGACTAGCCTGCTTGCAGTTCCAGCCAGTTGATGCTGTTCCCTATCTCCAAGGGGGACTACCTGCCTTGAGCTACTTGGCCCCTGTAGTGTGCTCCCCAACTCCTTTTGCTTGTGTCCATGGTCATCATAATGTGGGATGGTTGTAGGAAGGTCACACCCTTGATAAGGTTCCTTCATCTTAGCAACCTTCATCTTAGCAACCTTGATAAGGCCACCATCTTAGCAACCTCAAAACTGAAGGGGAGAGCTTGGTCTACTTGTGGTGCTTCCTGCTGATGTCCTTCTGGTGTGGTAGTAGTGCCTACTGAAGAGGTCTTGCATGAAAGTGGGACCATAGGATGACATCTAGTGTTGAATTTAAAAAGTCCAGTATTACAGAGAGGTCCAAGAGGTCCAATGCTTTTTGCTTGCACATCCTTTTGATTGTGTCCAAGATCTTCTGTTGTTTCTCTGGTGGGAGAAAGGCCATTGCTGACACTGTGTCTATCCTGGCCCCCAGGTAGACCAGGTCCCTGGACAGGGTAAGCTGGCTCTTTCCTAGGTTTATTAGGAACCTATGCTCCCACAGTAGTTGAATGGAAGCCTCTGAGTCCCCTGCTGCTGATTTGCTGTCCTTGGTCCTGATCAGCAGGTCTTCTAGATAAGTGTATATGAGGATCCCCTGCTGTCTCAGGTGGGCCACAAGCACTACCAGCACTTTGGTAAAGGTTCTTGGCAAGGATGACAGTCCAAAGGACTGTATTGTAGACTCCCTGGAACCTCTGCGAGGTAGGTACTGACTCAACCACCCTGATGGCCGGAAGATACTCTACAGCTTCCTGTCAGTTGTTGTTTTTCCTTTGATCTGGGAGTGGAGACGGGATGAACTTGGAGTGTGGTGGAGATGCAAACTCTATCTTGTAACTATGCTCGGTGATGGAAAGCACCCACTGGTAAGTTGTGTTCTGCCTTCAGATGTGGGTGAAGTATTGGAGGCGACCCCCTATTGTGTAGTCAGTTGGTGGTTCTTTTTGCTGGACCTGCCCTGTCTTGTTTGTTGGGAGAAAATTGTCTGCTTTGGAACTATGACCAGTAATTAAAGGCACAGTTGCTTCTAAAATCCTTGCCTTCCCAACTCTTGGCATTGGGTCTGAAGCCACGAAAGGAATTGTAGGACCTCCCTTTGCCGTCTTTTTCCTTTGAGGCTGAAGTAGATGGCATGGCTTTCCTTTTTTTCTTTTGTCTCTACAAAGACCTTGTCTAAAGCTCTAAAGAGCAGTCTACCAGAATTTTTTTCTGCAGGCAGGTTGGATTTTGATAAGGGGTCTTACTTCCAGAGTTTTAGCCAGATATTTCTTCTGACTATAACATTTGCTGCCTGCGTCCTACCACAGAACTGCATGGTATCTTGAAACACATCCACAGCAAATTCTGCTGCCCTTGTAATATTTAGAAGCCATTTCTCAAGTGTGAGAGGATAAGTTTCCATGTCCTGAAGTAGATTGTTGGCTTTTTCTTTTGTCTCTACTAAGACCTTGTCTAAAGCTCTGAAGAGCAGTCTACCAGAAATGTTTTCTGCAGACAGGTTGGATTTTGATAAAGGGTCTTACTTCCAGAGTTTTAGCCAGATATTTCTTCTGACTATAACATTTGCTGCCTGCGTCCTAGCACAGAACTGCATGGTATCTTGAGACACATCCACAGCAAATTCTGCTGCCCTTGTAATATTTAGAAGCCATTTCTCAAGTGTGAGAGGATAAGTTTCCATGTCCTGAAGTAGATTGTTGGCCCGGACAACTATAGCTCTCCAGAAATGTGACTAGACTGGTGATGCCCTGATTGCTAGGGAGGACACCTAGTGTGATTTCCTGAGTACTGTCCCATGTTTTCTATCCACTGAGTCCTTAAGAGTGTTGCCCCCGTCTTTCAAGAGGACAGCATCCATGTGGAGGGCAATTATGGGAGCATCCACTAGGGGAAACTTGAGGTCCTCCATGGTTTCCTCTGGTAAGGCACAAACACTATAGCTCTGCAGAAATTTGACTGGACTGGTGATGCCCTGATTACTAGGGAGGACACCTAGTGTGATTCCCTGAGTGCTGTCTCATGTTTCCTATCCACTGAGTCTTTAAGAGTGTCTTTCGAGAGGACAGCATCCATGTGGAGGGCAATTATGGGAGCATCCACTAGAGGAAACTTAAGGTCCTCCATGGTTTCCTCTGGTAAGGCACAGACTTTCTTGTTAATGAAGAGCCATACGCTGGGACAGCCAGGCCCATAGCTACAGTGGAGCCTCTTGGGGCCCGGCCCCTCAACTTCCTGCCAAGGCCCCACAACTTCCCATCCAGTCCAGGCTCCCTGACTCTCTGGGCCACCTGGAGGACTCCCTGCTGCCACCGCTACCCCTTCTCCAAGCGCAGCTTGCTCAAAAGGGAAGCCGTCCCTCATTCTGCCCCCCCACCCTCTGCTGCCTCCCTTCACCTTGGGGCTGAGCCACATCCTGCTCTGCACAACCACAGTGGCACCACACCTGGCCAGCTGGCCCGGCAGGCTGCTGAGAGGGTGAATAGAAAGCCTGAATCCTCTAAAGAGCATCTCCTCTCTCCCCAGCTCGGCAGCTCTGGCCAAGAGCAGGAAGGTCCTTGACATGCGCCTTCTGTGCGGCTAGCAGTCCCTCCCGAGCCTGCCTCTCGCAGCCACAGCACCCCCTTCCTTTCCCTGGGCAGATGCGGCGGCACTCCCTCACCCGCCCCCTCGCTCTTTTATTGCATGTCCTGCCATCCCTCCGCAGCTGGCTGGCAGAGCCTGGCGTGACCTTCCCTCCAGCCCCCTTTCCTAGCAGCAGACAGGCCATGGGTGGGTGGGT